GAGAGACCATGAGGAAAGCTGAGAATGCAATGGATGGATTGCTTCAAGAAAGAGAGGTTTCAGAGGAACAGCCGTGTTAGTCTGTATTCGCAAAAAGAAAAGGAGTACTTGTGGCACCTTAGAGACTAACCAATTTATTTGAGCATGAGCTTTCGTGAGCTACAGCTCACTTCATCAGATGTTTACCGTGGAAACTGCAGCAGACTTTATATACACACAGAAATCATGAAACAATACCTCCTCCCACCCCACTGTCCTGCTGGTAATAGCTTATCTAAAGTGATCAACAGGTGGGCCATTTCCAGCACAAATCCAGGTTTTCTCACCCTCCACCCCCCCACACAAATTCACTCTCCTGCTGGTGCTAGCCCATCCAAAGTGACAACTCTTTACATAATCAAGTCGGGCTATTTCCTGCATAGATCAAGGTTTTCTCACATCCCCCCCACCCCCATACACACACAAACTCACTCTCCTGCTGGTAATAGCTCATCTAAACTGACCACTCTCCAGGTTTAAATCCAAGTTAAACCAGAACATCTGGGGGGGGGGGTAGGAAAAAACAAGAGGAAACAGGCTACCTTGCATTACCTTGCATAATGACTTAGCCACTCCCAGTCTCTATTTAAGCCTAAATTAATAGTATCCAATTTGCAAATGAATTCCAATTCAGCAGTTTCTCGCTGGAGTCTGGATTTGAAGTTTTTTGTTTTAAGATAGCGACCTTCATGTCTGTGATTGCGTGACCAGAGAGATTGAAGTGTTCTCCAACTGGTTTATGAATGTTATAATTCTTGACATCTGATTTGTGTCCATTTATTCTTTTACGTAGAGACTGTCCAGTTCGAACTGGACAGTCTCTACGTAAAAGAATAAATGGACACAAATCAGATGTCAAGAATTATAACATTCATAAACCAGTTGGAGAACACTTCAATCTCTCTGGTCACGCAATCACAGACATGAAGGTCGCTATCTTAAAACAAAAAAACTTCAAATCCAGACTCCAGCGAGAAACTGCTGAATTGGAATTCATTTGCAAATTGGATACTATTAATTTAGGCTTAAATAGAGACTGGGAGTGGCTAAGTCATTATGCAAGGTAGCCTGTTTCCTCTTGTTTTTTCCTCCCCCCCCCCCCCAGATGTTCTGGTTTAACTTGGATTTAAACCTGGAGAGTGGTCAGTTTAGATGAGCTATTACCAGCAGGAGAGTGAGTTTGTGTGTGTATGGGGGTGGGGGGGATGTGAGAAAACCTTGATCTATGCAGGAAATAGCCCGACTTGATTATGTAAAGAGTTGTCACTTTGGATGGGCTAGCACCAGCAGGAGAGTGAATTTGTGTGGGGGGGTGGAGGGTGAGAAAACCTGGATTTGTGCTGGAAATGGCCCACCTGTTGATCACTTTAGATAAGCTATTACCAGCAGGACAGTGGGGTGGGAGGAGGTATTGTTTCATGATTTCTGTGTGTATATAAAGTCTGCTGCAGTTTCCACGGTAAACATCTGATGAAGTGAGCTGTAGCTCACGAAAGCTCATGCTCAAATAAATTGGTTAGTCTCTAAGGTGCCACAAGTACTCCTTTTCTTTTCAAGAAAGAGAGTAAGCAGTGGACCTTAGTGCCACTTTGGACAGATCAAGATACATTCTTGCATGAGAACCCAACCTCAGGCGATAGGATAAAAGGATGTAGTAGTAATTAATATAAAATTTTTGTTATGGTTTTCACCCACCTCCCCCGTCTCATAATTTATGAACTTGCAAGTTGGTGACAGTAGGATTTAAACATCCCCTTGCATTCTGTGCAACCCAAATTTCACAGCATTATCCTGTACAACTTCACAGTGCACCAGTTCCAGAAAGTGGACTAGAAGTGGACAGATAATAGAAAAATGTGAAAACAGGCTAGGTTTCTTTGTACAAGGTAAGTGAAGAGCATATTTTAAGAATTTAGATACAATATTGAAAAGTAAGTTAGAATTTTAGAATTCAGTTTGAAAAATCTATTAGTATTAATCTTAAAGTCAAAGTTTCTTTATTTAAGATGCAAGTTTATCTGATGGCATACCTTTAAATGCAACAATCTGTGTAATCTTTCAGAGCATTCCAAAACATTTTAGCTGACTGCACTGTACATATACACCTGTTATTAACACAACATACTTACAAGATTGTCAATTTTGAGCGAATTTTTAATTTCTGCATGTATCCTTTGAAGCCGAGAATCCATTGATGTTTCTAAAGATTAAAAATAATTATATTTGAATGATGTAGTGACTATCAAATCTATTAATGCAGGATATCTTTCAGAACAAGATTTCTACAAACATGAATTCCTGATTGAATGAAGAAAAAAATGTATGTATGGATAAGCAGCCATATCAGCTAACCATAAAGTACTCTATTTTGATCAAAACCATTAGTGTATCGGGTGGTTACACATTACAACAATTTTCCATACCTATGTCCAATTGTCAACTTTGAAATACAATATATTTGTTAACCCAGGCAAAACAAGTCTGGATAATAAGATATAAGTATTTGAACAGCCTTTAAATAAGGTGCCTGGGACCCCACAGAGTGGAGGAAAAGAGGTGGCCAGACCCTTCTCCTGCAAGAATCGGTGCTTCTAGGAACTTGGGAGTAACCTGTCACTTAAAATAGTAGCTCAAATTTGTCAAATAAGATGGCTGGCAAGCCATGACAAGTTTATTAGTGATAAAATGAAACAAAGGGGTTGGTTCTTTTACTAATTCATACGTGCTGAACTATCATCCATACTTTCTTCAGTTAGTAAATGGTGTGTGTTTGGGATATACTACAGACAAATGGAAAATTTGTTCTCTCTCACTTTTCTAGGTCTCCCATCTCCCCCAATTCATAGATTTCCAGGCCAGAAGTGGCCACTGTGATCATCTGATCTTCTATATACACAGGTCACAGAACTTCCAAAAATAATTTCTAGAGTCTAGATTTTAGAAGAAGAACTAATTATGATTTTAAAAAATTGCTAGTGATGGAGAATTCAATACTACCCTTGGTGAGTTGTTACAACAGTTCATTACTCTCACCATTAAAAATTTACACCTTATTTCCAGTCTGAATTGTCTAGCTTCAACTTCCAGACATTGGATCATGTTATACCTTTCTCTGCTAGACTGAAGAGCCCATTATTAAGTATTTGTTCCCCATGTAGGTACTTATAAACAAATAAAGGTACCCCTTAACCTTCTCTTTGTTAAGCTAAATAGATTGAGCCCCTTGAGTCTATCACAATAAGGCATGTTTTCCAATCCTTTAATCATTCTTGTGGCTCTTCTCCAAACCCTCTTCAATTTATCAACATCCTTCTTAAATTGTGGACACCAGAACTTGACCTACTATTCCAACAGCGGTCACACCAGTGCCAAACACAGAAGTAAAGTAACTCTTCTTTTACTTAAGATTCACGTTTATGCATCCGAGGGTCGCATTAGCCCTTTTGGCCACAGCACTGCATTTTGAGCTCCTGTTCAGCTGATTATCCACCACGACCCCCACATCTTTTTCAGAGTCACCGCTTCCCAGTAGAGAGTCCCCCTTCCTGTAAGTATGTTCTACATTCTTTGGTCTTATATGTATATATTTATATTCAGACACATTTGGACAAAACAGCTTCCTATAAAATACTAGAGGAATCTCAGATTTGTCTTAGTCTATGCAACATCTCCACGCTCAAACCAGTACTTCCAAAGTGGTCTTGAAACACATTATTTTTGTTAAAAGAAGACCTTTAAACAGTAAAGCCTCACTCATCTGTATTAAGGGATCCTGAAGGGGTTACTGTATGGCATTGAAAGGCTTCTCAGGGGGTGGAGGTGTAGAAGAGTACAAGTGCAGGGGACCAATTCTAGAAAGGAAATAAAGTGACTAGTTTTCCATTATGGATTCTGAGCCCTTCTCTAATCTTAGACAAATCAGGAGGTAGCAAATATTAAAGAATTTTACTAAGGTGGGAGGGGAGATATTTGGAATGGCCCCCAATAATTTCTTTTCTATGAAGACAGCCAACTTTGCTGAGCCCCGAGGAATGAAAAGGAATGACTTTCCCTTGCAAAGGTATCCCTAGAGGAGTCTGGGTCAGTGTACAAGGATGTGGAGGCCCCAGTAAGCTGTCAAGAGCCAACCCCTTCCCTTGGCAGGACAAATGTCTGTGACTAGTTGTGATAGGGCTCCTGAGTGTCGTCTTAAAGATTGAAACAGCTTGTCAACTGCTCTACTATGATGGGGCAGAAGAGAAAAAACAAATAGAGCACAGGAACTTCCTGAGTAGTCCTGTTCAGGGTGCAGAGAATCAGACAGTTCTCCCAAGAGATGGGTAACTCCCTGTTACTCACATAAACAGCTTTAAAAATGGAATGACAATGGATAAACCGGGAGTACTGGAGAGTGGCTTTCTTTGCACTGCTGAAGGCAGAGAAGCACATGGGAGGTAGCAAAAGACTTGGAACAAAAATGCACTGCCTAAAGTACTTGCAAGAAGCAGAGTCTCAGCCCAAAAATCTTGGATTGTTTTGGTCCAGAAACCCCTCACTAATGAAGTTTCAGTTTATAGATATGTTTTATTTAAAATTAAAGAGACTAAAAATATTCTGTATAGCTTCATTAAACTAACCTCGCTTCTTCTCCATCTTCTTTACTTCTGGTTTCTTGTTTTCCTCTTTACTCTGCCTATTAAAAATGTTAAACATTTTACAACGTTTGTCTTCTTTTAAAATCTGTAATTTCAAATTTTTTAAATGAGATCTGCTATTTCATGACTAAGGCAGTAACTCAAAACTTAGCACAAAAAAAGGACAAACACTGATCTGCAATAATGAAGTAGATTATGATTAATTTAACAACAGCACGGATAGCAGAATCTCCCAGATTAACAAATTGGTTTCAATAGCAATTGGCATTTACACATAGCAAACGATTAAAGGAAGGATAAACAAATTAATCAAGTCACAAGGAATCGTACAGATTTATAAATTTTATTCTCTGTGCTTCTGTCACAAGTGAAAGTTAAAAAGAAAAATGCACAGTATGAAAGATTCACACAACAGAATATTTTATGACTTCAAGAACACTTTAATGGCTCACATCAGACTTTAAAAGTGGCATTTAGTTCTACCTCAGCTACACACAGTAATAGAGGTGGGGGATTCTAACAGTTCCTATCATATGGCACCTTCCCCCCCTGCAAAAAAAAAAAAAAAAAAAAACCACACAAACCCTGCCCCCCCCCCACACCAAACAGTCAGCAGTGGAGGAGAGAAATCTACAGAAAACCTTAAGTGCCCTAATACAAATCGCCATATTATATATTAATCACATTGAAACACCTTAATAAGCACAGAAGTGTAAAGAATTTAACCCCCCCCCACCCTCTTTACAGTATTTTTACAAATCTCAAGGCTCTTTCCCTTAGGATGAGTGAAAATACAATACAATAAAATGAAAACAAGGATTTAAAGGAAAAAACTTCAGGATAATGGCATGGCCACCCTCCAGTCACAAGAGGAGGACAGAAGACATTACAAAGTCTCAGTGTCTTATTTTGGAACAAAATAGAAGTTTTGAACTCTCAACTACATGGTTCAGGAACCACTATAAATCCTTTTTTATCAAGTCTTTAGACCAGTGGTGAGCAACCTGTGGCCTATGGTCCGCACGTGGCCTGTCAGGGTAATCCGCTGGCGGGCCACGAGACAGTTTGTTTACATTGACCGTCCACAGGCACGGCCACCCGCAGCTCCGAGCGGCCAAATTTCACCAATTCCAGCCAATGGGAGCTGTGGGAAGCAGAAACCAGCATGTCCCTGCGCCCTGGGTGCTTCCCGCAGCTCCCACTGGCCAGGCAAGGCGAACCGCGGCCACTAGAAGCTGCGGGCAGCCGTGCCTGTGGACGGTCAACGTAAACAAACTGTCTTGCAGCCTGCCAGCGGATTACCCTGACAGGCCGCGTGCAGCCCATGGGCCGCAGGTTGCCCACCACTGCTTTAGACTGTATTATAGTTGGTACTACTTCTACATATATACAAAGTCTTATTTTACGTTTGGCAAATCCTAACATGCAGTGGGACCACATTTTCTGCAATGCATTTTTAGTATATTTTTGATGCAGCTGACAACAGATATCAAAAACTGACCAAAAAAATCCATTTAAAAATAATATCAGTCCTTAAGCATATCCTGGATATTCCTCTCATTCTAACCAATTACAGGTTCACAGATTTACAGGAACACAAAACAAATTTCATAGTGCATCTTTCATGACACTGGCAGCCCAGAACAAAATACAGTTTTAAATATAAAGGAATAATACAGAGGCATAATAGAACAAATTTAAGATGCATAAGCAAGACTGTTCCATCTGTTTAGACTATTAGGTCTGTGAGGAATAACAGACTTCCTTCTGTATCAATGTGCAGGCAGAAGATACTGCAGAAGTAAAGAGCACATTTTAAATTTTTTTTGGTTCTAGGTTTAGTGTTAACATGAGTCACTAGCTATAATAAAGGCCTGCATATTCCATGACATATGTATCCCAAGGCTGAAGCAAATGCTCTCCTCCTACCTATAATAATTTAAATGCAACCGTTTCTAGCTCTTCAGAAGCATGAAAGTAAACTTGAAAGGTATTTAAAATGAGTTTATTTCATTAATATTAAAATGAATAACCAAATCAATACATTACAATTAGTTGCAGAATTAAAAGTGTAGCACAGAATCAAGCATTAACAATACATTCAAACTAGTTGTTGAGGAATGGTAGGGGCAGAGTTTAATATCTTTGGGAGCTGGAGATGCTTGCAATTTGGCAGCTAGCGAAAGGGAATGAATTTAGGCTGCCAAGAAAGGGTGGTTGAGGAGGACAGAAAGATAGAGTCTGGGTTCTTGTTACTAGGCATGGAAAGGTTAGAGGGGAACTGGTATGTGTTAGACTTTGTCATTATGTGGAGAGGGAGGGACGGTTTTCTCATGTCATTTTCTCCCAGAGTTTTGTTACCTTGTTCTCCCTTTCTTCCTCCCTCCCACCAACTGTGGGGATGGGGACATCATGATCTCCTGGTGATTCCTTCTTCACCCATTCCTGGAATTGCTCTCCAGAACAGGACAGAGATTTCTTCCCAGTGTGCCCCCCCCCAACCCCCAAGTTTCTGGCAGCATCTTCTCTCCATGCTGATGCTTGGTTCTTTTGTGATAGTTTCTCTTCTGAGTGCAGATTGCTCTTGAAATCACTCAACTGGCTTTGCAGAGCCAGAGTAGCATAAGCCAGAACCTTTTCCTTGTTCTGTCTGACGGTGTGGGCTCCAGCTGCCAGACAGAGAAGGAAATGTTTTCCAGGGAACCCTATTGCATTCCATAACCTGATCAGAATTCCACAGCCATGGATTTAATGAGCCCTAGCACTCTTTCAGCCTCATATATTCAAGATTTAAGACATGGTACATGGATCAGAGTTAAGTTCTCTTTCTTCATAAAGGTAAGCTTGAATACAGGAAGCATTCATAGTCACGATAATTCTAGACAGAACCTGCTGCCTCTACCCTGATATTGGGAAGGCTAAGATACTGCAAGATTGACAATACTTTTTATATTCTCTGAAGTCCAATTTTCTCCCACCGTCCCCCAAATTATATTGATCCCTTATATTAATTTATAGTAACATATCCTCAATTTACATAGAAGTTAGAAAAAAATCACTAGAAAAAGGGAAACCACCACCAGATATTTCAGACTGATCGCTAAAGGAATTTTTCTTCAGATTTTTTCTCTTTATGTTATCCTCAGCCACTACTATCAGCTTGCACAACCACTACATATTAAAGAATATACTCACGGCTCAGATTCTATCGGCTCTTCTTGCTTGCGTTTTCTTTCTCCAACATCTCGCTCATGTTGGCCTTTTAGCATATTCCTCCTATGAGCACCCTGAAAGTTTCTTCCTCCTTTTTTCTTCTGTTTCATTTAACATAGTTTAGAGATTGGGTGGGAAGAGAGGAATACTTAGATTACTACAAATCAAAAAAAACGTCAGCAGTTAAAATTTCAGAACTACATCACTACATCTGGTGCTCATTTTCTTCTCTCAGATGGAGCAAATCATCTGTTATCCCACATACAGGGAAAAAAAAAAAAAAAAAAAAAAGAGCCACAAAATCCATACAAGGAATCGAGTCTGAAAGGATCAGAGCATTCTAGCTTTTTTTTCCTTTCAAAATACATCTCACAATACCCTTCGTATGCTCTCAAAAAGCAATTATAGAAAAATCCCCATGCATTCAAGGTTCTATTACACTTGCCTAAATGGAATTTTTTCATATTAAAAGATGCTACTTGCCCAAGGGTAGATTTAAATTAAAGCCACTTAAAAAAATTAGTTAATACCAAGGATTACTGAAATGGCCTTTTGGAAGAGAGTTCTGCAACTTCTCATTCCATACCATGTCTCTGTATGGGAGTCAGAACACTCAACTGCAACTGTTAATGCCCAGGATTGAAGACCTGGAATTAGCTTCAGGGCATATCTTCACTAAACCATTGTTTTCAGTAGATGTTTCCCCCAGTTTAGAAGATTAAATAAATCAATAGCCAAGATATAAACTAATCAAAGAAACATATACCTTACCTTATCACCTTCCTGCTCTTCTCCATCCTCTTCAGAATCAGAGGCTGATGTAGAACCCACTTTAGTGGCACTTTTCCTTTTTGGTTCGGTCTCTCTTTTTCCTTCCTTTTTCTCAATATCTTTCCTTGGTTTGTCTTCTTCCTTCTGATTCTCCTCATCTTTTTTCAGCTGTTTTTTTGGTTGTTTTTCTTCTGGTACTTTTTTCTTGGTCTTATCCTCCTCATGAACACTAAAATGCAATAAAAATTAGTTGTCTTTTAGTCAGAGTCCATGCTTAGGCTTTGTAATCCTTATCTATACTGAGTGTTAAATGGAGCCAAGTACTCTCAATAGCCAAAGGAGAAATGAATGTTTACATAAATGGCTTTATTAGAAAGAGTGCTTCATCACTTCATAGTTCATCTTTACAAAAAAATATGTCAATTCCCACTTTCTAAAGGATATCTTCGTAATCAAAAGGGTTTGGGTTTATCCCCTGTTTCTGAATTTACAGAGACAAATAATAGTAATGTTCAGTACTTGGGCCCAGCAAACACTTATGCATGTGCTTAATAGTATGCATACATGTAGACCTACTGAAGTTAGTGCAAGGAGTCAGTGAGACTATTCACGTGCATAAAGTTAAACATGTGCTTAAGTATTTGTAAGTTTAGGGCTCAGGAGATGTAAACTCCCTCTTCTCAGTTTAACTGACTTAGACCCCAATCCTGCAAACCCTTGCTCCCATGATTAGCTTTAAACATGCAAGCAGTACCAATTACTTCAATGGACTGGCTTACATACTTAATGCTAAAAGAAAAGGAGTCCTTGTGGCACCTTAGAGACTAACCAATTTATTTGAGCATAAGCTTTCGTGAGCTACAGCTCACTTCATCGGATGCAATGCTAAGCACATGTATGTTTGCAGTAAATGCTAACCTTTTTAATCAATTACACCAAGACATTTATTTAAGGCACATATCTAATGTAGATGCACATATGTCCTATAAACCTTCTAAAGACAGCTACGTAAGTTTAGAATATACAAATAGTTGACTATTCCTTCAATTATTAGGATGGTTAAGAGCTAGCATGACCCTAATATAGGGTGAAAGGGATGTGTACATAGCACTATCACATTTCAAACAGCACTTAGATTCCATGGTGTTCACTTGTGGGATTCTGGGGGTTTTATTACAAACCTCAATAAAGCAGCTGTAAAAGGCTAGTACAGGTTTTTTGCATGATCCTCCCTGTTTCTTCATCACAAAAATGAATATCTGGTATTAAGATATAAATGTACAGACAAACTTAACAGAAAATAAGGCTCTTTGAAGAAATTTTTCAAATTAGGGAGAAAAAGAGATTTCTATCATGCCTGAGTCTGAGCTACCTTGTCATTCTTACAGCTGATTTAAGTCTTTAGTAACTGCTTCATCTACCAAAGCAAGCAACCACCTATACCAAGTACCCCACGGAAAACAGTGCTCAGGCACTCAGTGACACAGTTATGCTAGTTTATTGAAAACAGCCATTTGATTTACAATATGTAAAGAGATTATATATTAAAATCCAACTCACATGTCACTTTCTGAAGGACAAGGTGGTTTCACCAATTTGGGTCGTCCTCTTGGTTTTGGAACCTTAGCTTCTGTAGCTAATGTTCACAGAAAGATCAGGTTAGTCTACAGCTTCTACCTGTTTCTTATTTAAAATAGACTATTCTCATAGCAACATCAACTGATAAAACAACAGCAGAGGGCTGGATATTGAATGGGATTGATATGCTGACCTGTGGCCTTTTCAGAGATTAGGTTAATAAATGAAATGGGTGTGGTGGTCTTATCCTGCAGTATAGAAGATGATTTTCCTCATTATAGGCTATCAGCAGGGCTAACTGCTATAGAACCATCAGGATGTTGTAAACAACAGATAAGGTGGGTTGGTAAAGTAATACGGGAGGCTTACACAACATGTACTTGTTATGCATGGCTATTGCCAGAGCCGTCAGTCATACATTTAATGCGAATATCAATTCACAATGTGTGTGACTATAATTATACAGCTATAGATATGTCTTGTGCAATTGTGGAGACTTTGGCACTCACATATGTTTAAGTTACAGAGAATGAATTTTTATAATAGCAAAGTAGTGCAAAATGTCTGTATTATGGAATTTTCAAAACTTCACTTGGGAGACTATTTCATACTGTACTGATCACTGTCAGGAAACTCCATTATCCACCCAGAGCTATACAGCGCACAGTTTTCTTAATTTCACCATATGTTTATAATATGCTAAACAATTTCTCTACCTCTTTGGCACTTCTATCCTAAGCAGTGTAAGATGAAAATATTGTGCACAGTACCACTTTAGATTAAATCTGCAGGAGATGCTAGCCTGCTACCTCCACTGAGCATGTTGCTAGGAAATGTACAGCATTGCTAAACAATACATGCACATGACACACTAATGCCAGGGTATGCTGTGTTGCATATTGCCTAGAGATATGTTCCCCAAAGAAGGCCAGAAGGGTGTATTTAATTCCATCTGGCTTTTATATTCACTCCTTTTATTACTTACATTCTGTGTATAAACGTAAGAGATAATATCTCCTCTTATATGGGTGTTTTAAACATTTTACAATCCATTTTAAGTTGCTAAAATTGTATGTTTTGCTAGGACAGATTGTGCGGATGACTTAAAAAAATTAATTCAAAGTCAAATATAAACTTCCTAGCTTCCATGCCAAAAAAACTCTAAGATCAGTTAAGCTATGGCTGCATTTAAAAAAAAACAAAACACCGAAACAGAACTTATTTACACCTGCTGGCGTTATGAAAACATGAGTATCAGAAGCAACTTATCTGTTGTCCACACTACAGGCTACTATGGTTTACATAATTGCTCAAAAAACTATTTTCTCATGCAGTAGTATTAAACAGTGAATTTTAAAGAGCTTTTACTTACACGTATATTTACACAGTACTTATGACTTTTCACAAATTAAAAACTACAGTACATTACATCTTGCTATTTTCAAAAACAGAGCAGAATTGTTGGCAATATTTTTCATATTACATACATTTCATATATAGTTCTGTTCTCCCTTTCACTTGTTTACGAAATTTTCACAACATTCACTGCTTTTAATCTTCCTCAAAAAAAATCCCTCCAGCCCCTCAATTGTTTTCTTACTCTTCTCTGAGCTCCCTACAGGTTTTCTTGTGTTCAGGTGTCCAGAAATGAATGCTTTATTCCAGGAACATTCTTATCAAAGCTGCACAAAGAAATTACCACCTACATAATGAAAAGATAAAGCTTGTCTGTGAAGGAGACAGAGCTTTCTCAAGGGCTTGCCCAACACCACAGAATGAACTCCCATAGGAACAAAGGACCATCACAAATTTCAACAACTTCTGATCTTAGTACAAGGCACATTTGCTTGACTTTGCTTTCCCTAACATATAGCAATCTGTGTGTGCGTGCACATTATAAAAAAAAATTCAAAATAAAAACCAAACACTTCATTTCATCTACTTCTCCTTTGGGAGAGAAAATGAGAGACCACATTCATGACAGATAATTAGTCACGCTGCTTAATTCACTACTCAAAGATGCTCAGACACTATGATTATGAGTGTGCTATAACAACCTATACAGAACAGAATTACACATGCAGCGCCCTACTATGTCTGAGATGCTTTTGCACATCACTCTTCCTTATCTCCTAACCTTTATTTTTGATTCCCCATCTTTGGTTTGTTTCAGTTTTGTCTCTGAAAACCTTTACTATAAATATAAATGTATCTTTACTGATGGCAACTGACAAGTCCTAAGTATTCATTCATACTGTTTTTTGTATTTTTTTTCAGTTTGGTAATTTATAACATTTAAGATATAATACAAGTGTTCCTTTTTCCAAGCATACTAAAGCCTGGTGAACTTTAATGAAAGGTGAAATATATCTAGCAGGCACAAATATACATGCTTTGATTAATAGCATCAGTGGTTTGAGCATTGGCCTACTAAACCCAGGGTTGTGAGTTCAATCCTTGAGGGGGTCATTTAGAGATCTGGGGCAAAAATTGGGGATTGGTCCTGCACTGAGCAGGGGGTTGGACTAGATGACATCCTGAGGTCCCTTTCAACCCTGATATTCTATGAATAGGCATATTAAAGAATCTGCAGTAATAACATTAGAAACATTTGCTTGCTGTCCTGTATAATAATACCTATCTCTCATATAGCATTTTTCATAAGTAGCTATTAAAGCACTTCACAATCTTTAGTATATTTATCCTCAGAGTGGCGCATGATATGAAACAATTGTACTATTGCACTGATGGCAAATCATTCCAGGTAGATATTTAGTTTGTTACATGTCTTCTTCTGGAGTCATAGAGACACCAGATCCTGCTCCAAGTGGCACCTCAGTATACCTTATGCTAGTACTCTCACAACTGAACACAGATCCCCAATCTTTTATTTTTTTTAACTAGCCCATAAGTATGCTTTTGCAACAGGTTTTTAAAGCATCAGGTTTATAATCTTCGTGATAACATATAAATCTTTGTAGCGCTATGCCACATGGCAATAACTAGCTCTTACCATATACTCTATAGACAAGCAGGGTTCTGCAATAGTTATGACATCAACAGCATGGTGAGGGTGATATTTGTATCACAATATAATAAAAATATTAATTCAGAGGACATGTCAGAAAGTTTAATAGTTGAAACTCTTACATGCTGACCACGTCACAGTTTGATATTTGGGACATTCAGCACACAACCCTACAACTAAGCTGTTTTATACTTTGAGGTCACCTTTAGCATTAGGCTAGGTCTACATTAACACTTATGTTGCTCAGTGGCGTGAATATTTCAACCTCTTCCCCTCGCCCCAAGTGACATAAATTATGCTAGCATAAGCGGTAGTGTGTACAGTGCTATGTCGAATGGAGAGCTTCTCCCGCCAACACAGTTTATCACTCTGCTCTTTGGGGGTGGATTACTTATGTCAACGGGAGAGCACTCTCCTTTGAGCCTAGAGTGGATACATGAGAGATCTTAAAGCGGTGCAGCTGCACTGGTACAGCTGTATGCTCTAGTGTAGACATAGCCTTAGAGAGCAAATGCGTTGTAATACTTGGTGTCTACAGAAGTAAATTCTTTCATTCTCCATTTAAAAAAATTAAATGAGAAAAAAAATTAAGTCAGACTCATGGTGAAGTTACCTGCTGGTCTTCCTCTTTTAGGGCTTACTTTAGGAGCCACAACTACTGCAGTTGTTGCTGCTGCCACTGTTGTAGCTGTTGCCACTGCTACTGCTGCCTCCTCAGATTCTGCTTGTTTTTCAGACTGTTTTAAAGGATACAATTCATATAATTAAAAATGATAATCTCCCTTCACCCCTGTTCTTCCAACTCCGTCTCAGGGCTTGTTTATAGTTATGGCTAAATTGACACTGCTGCGATCGATGCAGGGGTGTCCATTTAGCGGGTCTGGTGAAGACAAGCTAAGTCAATAGCTGAACACTCTCTGGTCGAGGGCTCTACTCCCCCTCCCCAAGAAGCAGAAGGTAAACTGACACAGCACAGTGTAAACACCGCTGTAAATCGACCTAAGTTATGTAAATGAAGTCAACATAACTTACATAACTGAAGTAGCTAACCTACATCAACTTACAGCTTCCGTGTAGACCAGCCCTCGTTTCTGTGCAGACATAATATATACACGCCACTCAAAGAAGCTACAAATGCAGAAACTGTTAATGTTATTTCAACTATGACACACATGCACAAACTGGGTATCATGTGAAAACACTTTATTATAAGTTTTAACAATTGAGGCTACACTTAAAATAGTTACCAGACCACGCAACAACCATTTTCAGATTTAAACAAAAGCTACACATGTATGCACACACACAGAACATTAGCCACTGTATCACACATGCTCAGATAATTTCAGAGCAACTGAACTGTTCTGGAAAAAGAAACTAGACTCAATCTGTAAAAATTAAGTCTTTGAAAGATTATTTACAATATACATTCTTTTACAGTTAAAGACTGCTTTTGGAACTCAGAAGAAAAAATTATGGGTAGGTATCTGAACTTTACCTCTTATTCTTCTCTGAAGTGGGTACCCAGTGCTCTGTGATCCATTACAACTCTGTAATTAATTCTCCCTTAAATGCCTCCCTAGTTCCCCAACAGCCCAAATTGAGAAGATAATCTATAAATTTGGATTAATAAACATCAATGTATCCTGCCTTGATATGGTGAATCTATCTACTTATTAATTATATAAAACAAATGAAAATAAAGATTTATGGCAAAGGAAGATCCTAATATAAGGGAAACCCAGGATTTCTCCATCTCTCTCTGCGCAAATGCCCCATAAAGATGAAAAAGACAAAGGGAATACCCCCTCCAGCTGGAACTTAATGCAAGTTAGGATGCCCTGGATGGAGTCTCAGGGAGCACAAGGAGTCCATTTCAGACGAAGAAAGTTACAGATAGGTAGGTAGATTTTACTTTTCTCCTTTGTGGAACCTGGTGCTCTATAATCCATTTACAGCTAGGATGTAATCAGTTGTAAAACAAATCTCCACAAATAGGAAGGAAACTTAAAATAGCAAGAAAACAGAACCAAGAGGAAGAACAACCTCAAATAAGAGTTGTTTGTTCGTTCTAAAGGCCACATGCCTGACTAAGTGAGCCCTCACAGAAGGAAGGAAATCTCTGATGAACAATTTATAGAGCTGAGAAATTCCTCAATGTATCCACCTGGAAATAGTGGATAGGGACGCATTGTAACCTTCTTAGGTCAACCACCTAATCTTAAAATTGTACCTGATTTTCTTCAAAGATTAGTTTTGTGTAAAACGATGGTCAGTCATGACTATATCTAAGTTTGCAACCTATCTCCTTGCGTGGAAGGGCTTAAAATACAAGGAAGACGAACACCACAACACAACACCAGAACAGCAGGTCACCTAATGAAACTAATAGGCAGCAGGTTTAAAAAAACATAAGGAAGTACTTCTTCACACAATGCACAACGTGTAGAACTTGTTGCCAGGGGATGTTGTGAAAGCCAGAAGTATAACTGGGTTTTAAAAAGAATTTGATACATTCATGGAGGATAGGTCCATTAACTGCTATTAGCCAAGATGGTCAGAGATGCAACCTTATGCTCTGGGTGTCCATAAACAACTGACCTCCAGAAGCTAGCACTGGATGATAGGAGATGGGTAACTCAATAATTGCCTTGTTCTGTTCATTCCTCACTATCAGAAGACATTGGGCTAGATGGACTATTGGTCTGACTCAGTTTAGCCATTCTTATGTTTAAATAAATTGGTTCAAATTTAAACCATAATTTTGGGAGAGAGAAAATTTTGGAGAAGGCCTAAGAATCACATCTGGAAAAAGTTGCATGTAAGGATTCCAGATGAATAAGGCCTTCAAATTTATTAACGCTCCTCACTGATGTAACTACTAATAGAAAAACATTTTAACAGGAAATATGGGGAAGACTCCACCATATATTAAAAAAACAAGTTCAGCGATTATTTGAAACATCAAATAATACAAATAGACTCCAGATGTTATCTCTGAAGAGATGCAGGTTTAAAGGATTAGGAAGTGTGAGGCTAGAAGTGAAAGGAATATACCACAAAGCTGCTAAACAGTGAGACTTGGACTTTCAGAAAGGTAGGACTCATATCCAATCAAGAGCCCCGTCTAGAAGAAACTCCAGGTTATATAGCTCTGGTTGTCAGAAACAATTGCATTTTTGTTCTTTCAAATGCATCAAGAGTACCAAGTTCTCAGAATGGATTTATGGACAGTTTCAAAATATGAGTAATAAGTCTATTCATTCTCTAGAAAGCAAAATATCCCAGGTTCCAGGCCAAGTGCCTCAGGTGCTGTAGGTCTGGGAATTTGAGGGGCTCCTGGACTAGAAGTTCCCCCGAGACCAAGAGGTTCAAGAATGCTCAAAAGACAGCTGCAGGAATCAGAGACACTCTCCGTGTTTAGACCACTTCATTTCTGTTAACTACTTTTGGACTCAATGATTTAGTTTTTATTCTTATGAGTCCAATCACCATGTGTTTAATCATTGGATACAAAGGCTGATTTTCTGCTTAAACATAAAGCATCTAATGATTAAAACCACTTATGTTGCAAGCTCCTTACATAAGGGACTGCACCTAATGAGGGCTTGGAAAGCACCCAGTAGACACTACTGAAAACATACAGTAGGTAATCTACAAAACTTCCCGCTCCAGTAGCAACAGAGCTTCCCTTACTTTATTCAGGATTTTTAACTTTACTTTTTTGTTCCAGCCTGAAGTGTCAATATGCCACAGAAATCCAATTGTTGCTTTTCAAGTAAACAGCAGCTAAATCCAGAGGGAGTCTTAAGAAGAGAAAGTTAGAACCACCTTCTTAAGGGTTTGTAATTCTAGGAAGTTGCTGTGATTAACTTCATGGGACAACCATTTGCCTGACCTAAATGGGGCCTATCTGAGTTTTTTCAGGTGATACAGAAGATAATCTGCTTCCTGATTCTGGAAAGTCCATTACTAAACAGGAAAATTTGGAGAGAAGTGCATCCCCACCATAGAAAAGTTTCTACTTCTGGTCACAGTCATACAAAGTGAATGGAACCACTAGAGCAGTCCCAATCAGAAAAAGAAATTGTGAAACCTTTCCCTGGGCAACTAGAATCATGAATGTCTAATAGAATACCCAGAGGGAGAACACATCCTGTGGAGGTACTAAGGAGCTCCTCTGAAAATAGATGAGGCAGCTGTGGAACTCGAGCAGTGGGAAGTATCTTTACATATTGACAGGTTATATCTCGGATGGGTACCAACAAGTCACCTGTTGTAGGTGGGTCTTCAGAGTTACCAGAAGAGTTGTGAGAAAATGAGGATCATGAGAGAAGCAAACAGTACTACTAGGAACTGGTAATGCAATGTTGCAAAATGTATGTAGCATTGGCGGTCCAGGCAAACTGGTGCATGGAGATGGGTAGGACAATGAAAATTCTGAGGAAAATTGTTTGAGACATCTCTGTATCAGAAAGGCCTGGGCTCCATGAAGAAATGGGCCTTGCACACTGTTAATCAGCCTAGACAGAACCGGCACTGGCACAAACTAGTCTGTTCTCTTTCATACCAAGAAGACTCTTGAATGAAGATCTAAAAAAGAATTTCTCAGGAAAAAGGAGCAATGTTTTCTGGTGAACTAAGACTGGCAATGCTATCCTTCAGTGCTTTTCTTTTCTTTTTTTAAACTGGTTCAGAGGAAGCATGGGTGACAGGATGGAAGATGATAGGGGAACTTGAAAACTTATGAAAAGACCCTCATGCTTTTGTGAGCCCATCTGTCTGATGTGAGGTTTTTTAGGTTGATTTGGAAGGCTTAAACTTTGGAAGAAAGCTCTCTGTTCTCAGTCCTCCTTTTTTCTGTCTTCCTCTTTTGGAGGGCGTCTCTGGTCACAATACACAAAGGCATATTACTGAAGACAAACTAACAACCTCAGAAATGACAGAGCATCCTTCAATCTATTGGGCTACATAGCCTCACAGATGTAAAGACACTGCTGCTACAGTTTTTTGCTCCTGACCCAGTTTGCGATCTGCCCCTTTGAAGAGACAGGGAAGTGCCTTTTAAAAACACTGATGGAGACAAGGAATAATAAGGAGCAGAGGAAAACAGAGCTAGTCATAAGCACTCATGACTGAAGCTCCCTGCTTGTGCAGTAATGCTCTTTCAGGTTTAAGCCCTTATTTAAGTAGTTTTACAGCTGTACCACAAAATCGCACACTCAAAGACTATCTATATTGCAGATAAAACGTGTTCTCAACTTCGATTAGCTACATGAGTTAGATAACTTGGATTAAAATAGCAAAGATGACACAAACTACGTTAAAAGCCAAGTTGTTAACAGTTCAAGTTAAAGCCGGAGTTAAAAGCAGAGTTGCCATGTCTTCACTGCTATTATAACCTGAGTTAAGAATATACTTTTTTTTTTGGCGCGCATTGGAGAAATACCCTAAGAAGAGACACTCGCACAGACAACCTTAATTATGCGATATAACTTTTGAGGGCCTGACTTAATACAACCTTAAATACACTTTTAAAAAGTCGGGAATGTAATTTCCCAGGTTTGTTTTTTTCAGGAACAGAAGTTTTATAATAGACAGTATTATACAACTAGTGTTATACTCGACCCGTATAAAGAATAAAAAAATAGAGCATTTGTAGAACTAACTGAAAATATTATTTTCATTACTGTAACCCTTCACTGTCTAAAGTTAGATGGTAAGGAAATTGACAGTGTGTTGTGTGAAGTGCCTACCACATTTTTGGCACTGTAAACATTTTTACCTTCCTGTTCTTGGTTACTCCACACATGCAATAGAGCCGAACTTCTAAAAATCAAATTGGACACAGCTTACACCAGGGGTGGCCAACCTGTGGCTCCGGAGCCGCATGTGGCTCTTCAGAGGTTAATATGTGGCTCCTTACACAGGAGCTGAAGCTACAGATGCTAACTTTCCAGTGTGCCGGGGGATGCTCACTGCTCAACCCCTTGCCCTGCCCCAGGCCATGCCCCCAACTCTACCCCTTCCTCAAGGCCCCTGCCCTTTCTCCCGAGCATGCTATGCCCTCAATCCTCAGCCTCCCGCCTCGCCTCCGGCACATGTGAAACAGCTGATTGCGGTATGCAGAAGGCATGGGGAGGGAGGAGCTGAGGGCCCGGGGCGGGCAGGCAGGGAAGGTACTGATGGGGGGCTGCTGACATATTACTGTGGCTCTTTGGCAATGTACACTGGTAAATTCTGGCTCCTTCTCAGGCTTAGGTTGGCCACCCCTGGCTTATACTATGCAGAATTAAAGCACAAAACTGCTCAACAACCTGTTTTGAACAGCGAAGTTCAAAATCCTCAATTTACAAAGACTGTAAACATGTCAAAAAGCACCTAGCGCATAGAACAGACACTCTTTTATGGAATAACTTAACAAATCTTTAAAAGCATGACAGATCAGTTAATTTGTGAAAGAGAGTAGAGAAATGGCACCTACTTACATGAAGCTATTAAGTATTAGCATCAGAACAATCTTTGGTGAAACAGAGATGAAGAAAACAGTAAAATAGGGGAGGAGATTTCAGAGAAATTAGTGGCATTCCATCACGTAAGAACAAAAATTGTGAGGCTCAAGTTTTCAACCAGATTGTCAAACCCTTCCTTTTATTGGTGACTGCTCACTGCTCATTGACTTTATCTGGACTATCTGTACAAATAAATGCTCACCAATATGAATTCTAATGACAAAAAACTATATTAATGCATTTAACACAGAGTTAAAGTTGCTTCGTGGTATGTTGTCCCCTTGTAGAACATTGAGTTGAGTAAAACTCATCCTTCTGAAAACCAGGAAATGCAGTTAAGGTTGCCCATGCAAACTGAACTCTGTCCTCTTTCAGTAATGCCCAATTAACACACATACTGATATTCTGCCAACCCTGCAGCTGCTGAAACGTACAAGCTCTTCCCCACCTTTTACAATCCATTCACTCTCACTCATAGGATTCCATCTTTCCACTTCACATTATTAAAGGAGCAAAAAAAAAAAAAAAAAAGGAAGAGATTGCCCATGCCCTCTTTGAGCAATGCCTAATATGCACATACTCATGTAAGATCAGGAGGTTCCAGATCCTAGCATACACTCACACACTTAGCCAACTCCCCAGAAAAAATACCATGTATACAATTTAAGACCTAATTCACAGACTTTTACAACTCCCTTAACACTTATAGGATACCATCTCAACCTACACTTTCACTTAACCATCTTTAAAACATTAGAATTCTTCCACATTCCACCTAATTGTTGACAATATCCTTTGTAATAAAAGCCTTATGCCCTGCTACTAACATAACCTACACAGTTCTGCACAGAAATAATGCCTAATGCATCTTGAAGGTACACATGCATCTCTTCCTTTTCCTCCCATAAGACTAAAAACATCAGTGGCAGTGTGTTCATCAAGGAAAACAGCATCAACACAATCCCTCCAACTACCCACGCAAGCATAAAGTGGCTGCACAGACACCCTCTCATTTATTTTCTCTTTGTTGGCAAGTGTGCACTGTAATTCTTCCAGGGCAAGCAAATATGTGAACACATTCTTCAATACTGTTCACAATTTGGGTTCCCCAAAGACTTAGTTGATCAGTTTTTATCAAAGGTAGTGAGTGCATGGCACTCACTGAGAGCATTTAGACATTTTGATTGTTAGCTTTACGCAAAAAAAAGGCCCACTAGAAACTTTCTGAAAAATGGCTGGTACCTCTGGACTTGTATCTCCACAATTCCTGGCTCAAATGACCCCAAATTTGGGTTGCTAACCCTAATCCAGAAGTCATGACGCAACCTTAACCACAGTAGCACTGCCATGCCACTATAATAAAGATGCCACAATGTAGCAAAAGATTAGTCAGTCTCATCTCTCTTGCTTTCTCTGATCTATGTCAATTTCAGAGAGATAATCATATTGAAGACATTTCCTAGTTCTAAAACACTTGAATTTCGTACACTGTTTTTGTGTAAGGTTCCAATGAAAGTGGGCTTTTCTGCTCTATGGGATTTACTGGCATTTTCATTGTATTCAAAAGGGATTTATTAAGTGAATGAATGAATTGTTGATATACTGCAGCACAGTTCTGAATTTATTCAAAAATCAAATGAAGATTAATTGTGATTGGAGTATAATTTGTTGCTGAAAAAATGTGAGAATCAAATAGGAAAGCCACCATCACAAAACGATTGATAAGGTAAAGAAAAAGTAAGTATATTGTTACCTTTCTTTTTCTCCCTCTTCTAGCAACTTTAGGAACAGGTACATCATTAGCTTTCACCACACCCTGAAAAAGTAATACTTAGAATGTTAACAAAACATAAGAGTTAGTTTAAGTTATTATGATGCTTGAAGGACAATTTTATCATAGCTTTTAACATATATTTTAGCAAAAGACTATGCACACATGAAGGTATCTGTTATCAAGTATCAGTATTAGGCAATTGAAGTTTCTTTCTAAAACTGTCGTAGAGGATTAAGAATCAGTGACACTTCTTCAAAGAGACAGATAAAGGTATAATAGCTTGTTCTGGACTTTAGTAAATTGCAAATTAAATACTAATTAGTATTTTGTTTAAGACATATAGCCATATTTTATTGAACTCATCAAGTCACATCTAGTATATGCAGTTTCTAATGAGTTTGTTTCCCAATGTGTATTAAGTGAGATATATACACTAGCTTAATTAACTTTATCCAATTTGTATAGGTGGCTTGATATTTACTCTAATAATTAAGGGCCAAAGTTTGCGCTCAGATACACGTTCTGAACTCCCAGTGACTTCAAATCAGTTATATAAACATTTAAGCAGAACTTGACTTATAGAACTTATATTTTAAGCCATTCCCGGGACATGGTCAGATGATTATTGTTAGTGACTGCAACAGATTTAGAATATTTGCATTTAGACTTATCAATATATCTTTGTAGTACAGTATTAAATTGTTGACTTTCTTCAGAATTTAGTATTCTCAAACTGTGGTACACATACTACTGCACTTGTTAAGCCAAAAACTTTAAAAAAAAAAAAAAAGTCTCAGTTTTAAACGAACAGTCATCACATTATCTGCAGGAAGTCAGAAAATGACCAAGGAACAAAATACAATCTCCTAGCCACTTTCAGCCATAATGGTGAACAACATTTGGCTGACGATGCCAGCACTGTAGTTTTATTTAGCAATGTGTTGTGTCACACAGCTTGTCACCGTATTCATTTAGTATACAGCTGGCTTTCTGATATGCCTCGCTTTCAGCTTGTGCTGAGCTGCACAAGTGAGGTGAATATGCAAGGTTTCATACCACACCACCAGAGCTCATTTCTTCTGAAAAGACACACGATTCACAGTAGCTGCAAAACCTGCAGCCACAAGGAGCCCAGCAGGGGGATCCACTGTGCAGTTTGCCCACAACTGCAGCCATCCACAGGCCAGAGCTGCTGAGTAAAAAGAAGCCTCCTGGGGCTAAAGCTGCCTGATGATCAGGAAAAGCCCTGCACTTCCAGTCAAGACCCCTCACCGCTGCCACGGCCCTCTGAACCCCCTCCTGCCCTTTGACACACATGCACCTCTCACATTTCCTCCAGGAGCTACTCAAAACATTTTGTATTTTTCTTGATTTAAATTTTGTAAAAAAAAAAAAAAAAATTGTAAACAAATAAAAGAGCAAAGTGAACTTCAGCTCGTGTTCAATAATAATCCAGATAAGAATGAGCAGGAACTCTGAATTTAAATTTAACAGGTTAAAAAAATCAAGTTACTGAATATATTTCATCAGTACATCAAAATATATCAAGACCTCATTTATGACATGTTTGTTCCTTGTAATCTGAGCGTCACAAAAGACAAATAATAATGGCTGCTTCATTGTGTTTCTTTTTGATGTATTCACTAAAAACGTGAGATGTTTAAAAAGGATGCCATAATTAGAGCTGGCCAGGAACTTTTCAATTAAGTGGTTTTTTTGGAAAATATCGATTTGTCCAAACAGAAATTTCGAAAGCAGCTTATGTTTTGATGAAAGTTTTGCCAGGAAGATTTCTCAGATACCATATGAAATTTCTGGTCAAATCAAGGCCTCAAATCAAAGCCTAGTGGACTGCAGGAGAACCAGGTTCAAATCCCAAATCAGAAGGAGCGGGAACTTCAACGTGGATGTCCCACATCCCAGGTGAGTGCCCTAGCCATCTGACTACTGGCTATTCTGAAGTGATATATGTGTGAGTCTCTCTCTCTCTCTGTTTTTTTCATGAAGTATTTCAAGAGGTCTTGGTTTCCTTCTGTACTGAAACAAAACTAAACGTTAAAACCTCAATTTTTTGTAAAATGGAATTCCTGTTTTCAAAGCAGCACTAGTTACAAATGAATATTTTAGTTTCCTTATTCATTTATTTTACTATAGACTCTGGAAATATTTAAGCCTGTATTAGGGCCTAAAATAAATGTGTATGAAGAAGGAAAAATTTGCATGTAGTATTTCAAACATCTGCTTGAGGCAGAAAGAAAAACATCCCACATACTTCACTACTGGGTTTTTCTGAAGGGACATCTTCTTCCTTTGCAGCATCCATCTCTTTTTCTTCTGTTTCAACTTCAGTGGGTAAATTATCCTGTTTAGCAGATAACTAAATAGAAAAACCAAAGTCGCTAAATTTCACAATTTATATTAACTGAGATCTAAAAGAACCCGACAGGAGATGAACTGCAACAGACTCATTGCTATCAAATTGCTTTCCACCTTTAGTTGAAATAATTTAATAACTAGGTCAGTTTAATCTGTATGTAACAGTCTTCCATTTTTGAAGCATACCCCAAAGCTGTTTGTTAACATTGCTCTCCATCATTCCTTACAGAGGCAGTGGGGAAGGAAGGGGGCGTGGAACGGGGAGAGGCATGTGAGAGAGAGGGGGAGGGGAAGGGAAGGAAGTAGTGTGAAAGGGGGATGAGATGGGGAAGAAAAAGGAACAGGGGAACCATGGGGGGAAGTAGGAGCCAGGCATGCAGCATCCTCTTGGCAGCAGCTGGGACTCCCCCGTTAAGCAGGCCCATCAAACCCTCACTCTGACAAGCCCTACCCTCAGACCCCTGCCAAACCGAGCCCCATCTCCCCACACCCAGATACCCCCCCCAACCACCTTCACCTGGATCCCCTGCAGAGTCCCATTGCCCCTGCCCCCAGAACCCCCCCAATGAGCCCCTGTGCATCCAGATCTCCCACTGAGCCACCCACACCCAGATTGCCCCACACAGAAACTTCTCACCCTACACCTGGATCCCCCCACACTAAGATCCTCCACACTTGGATCCTGCTGGACTGAGCCTGCCCGCGCACCCACCCACACCTGGTGCAGAGGGGCAGATCCAGCCCTTGCACTGTGTCAGGGTCAGGTGCAGCCTCACTGCTGAGTCCCTGTACTGGGGAAGATGGGAGCTTCAGGGTGATCTCCCACCTCAGTGCAGCCAGTAGCCTGTACTCCCCACTGCCATGCTGGACCCACATTTATTTATTGACAAATAAAATTTGCAGAATTTTAAAATATTGTGCACATAATTTTAATCTTTTTGGTGCATGGATCTGAAAGTGGCCAGCATCAGATTCCTCAGAGGGAAGTGTAAAAATCCCATAGTATGCAGATGTAGGTTAATCTACCACCGACTTTTAAGGCCAGGCCTACACTACCACTTATGTCAGCAAAACTTGTGTCGTTCAGGGGTATGAAAACCCCCCCACCCCAGTGACATACGTTTTGCCAGCATAAAAGGTAGTGTGCACAGCGCTATGTCGGTGGGACAGCTTCTCCTGCAGACATAACTGCCGCCACCCATTGGAGATCGTTTAGTTATGTCGCTGGGAGAGCTCTCTCCCATTGGCACAGAGCAGCTACACGAGAGATCTTACAGTGGAGCAGCTGCATTGGTAAAGCTGTGCCACTGTAAGGTCTCTAATGTAGACATAACCTACCTCTCATCTTGAGATAACAGAGACAGGCTTAAGCTCTGAAGCATGAGATTTAGTATCTATATCCTTTCCAAAATTCGTTTTAGCATTAACCATAAGAACTCTGGATATTTCTGTTATCTACCTAAATGTCTAATATCTTTTTGAATCTAAGTTTTTGACCTCAATGACAGCCTGTGGTAATATGCGTGTTAATCAACATACTTGTGTGTGGAAAAACTATTTCCTTTCATCAGTTGTGAATTTCCCACCTTTTAATTTAACTCAATTATCCTTTGTTCTTGTGTTATGTGACAGGAAGAACAAGCTCCTGATTTACCTTCTCTATTCTGTTGTATACTTTTATCATGTTCCATTTTATTCATGTCCCTTTTTTAAAGTATGAAATCCCAATCCCAATCTTTTCAATCCCTCTTCATATTAGAGATTTCCATGCATCTAATTGTTCCTGCCCTTCTCTGAGCCGCCTCTAATTCTGCCATATTTTTGAGATGTGGTGACTGGTACTGCACACAGTATGTTTCAGCTTTACACTGAGCAGAGTTCTTCACTGAACAATCCACAATAATGTTCAGGTTCCTTTCCTGAGTTAATACAGCTAAATTTAGAACCTTGTAAAGTGAAAGAGTAGTTTAAGATTTTGCTTCCAGTATGCAACACTACTATGCATTTACTGACACTGAACTTGATTTACCTCCATGTTGCCCAGTCATCTAACTTAAAATTTAGGTCTTTTCAGAGTGCCTCACAGTCCTCTAACCTAAGTAACTCAATTACCTCCAAATGTTGCTACCTCACTAGCAATCATTTCCATATTAACAATAATATATAAACCACCACTGGACTTGGAATGTAACTGTGAAAAAAGCAGGTATTAAATTTTTTCCCCCATGATGAAAGCTGACCAGTCCTATTGCTTTCTATCCAATTTTTGATCCATAATACTTTGCTTCTGACCCCCATGACCACTTAATTTCTTTAGTAGTGGCTTGTCAAGGGCCTTTTGAAAGTCTAAAATTATGTCAACCAACTCCTATATCCATTATTTTACTGATTCATTCAACTAATTCTAAACAGATTAGCAAGAGAATTTTCCTTTGTAGAAACCATGCTGTTAGACCCTATAATATCATGATCTTCCACATGTTTTATTATTCTAGTTTTAATTATCATTTCCAGCAATTTGCCAGACACAGGTGTATAATTTACTTCTCTATAAGTTCCACTTCTCTGTAATTCCTCAGGTCACCACCAAAGCTTTTTTTAAAAATAGAGTTACAGCATTTAATACCCTTAAAATCCCTCAAAAATGCAATAGAGATTGCATATTTAAGCTCTTTTAGAACTCCTGAATATATAGTCTGGGCCTCGTGATTTATGATTAATTTATTCCAGCATCTCTGACACTGCAATCTGATAGCATGCCATCATTATTACTAGAAAGAAGCAGGTAACTTCACTACATAGGATGTTGGAAGACGAAAGGAAATAATTTAGCTTCTCAGTAATGTCTCGGTTTTTCTTAATTGCTCCCTTTAAATCCAGAGATTCAGCAGATCACTGCTTCTTTTGCAGGCTTTCTGCTTCCAATATATTTGTGCACAATTATTATTCTTATGAATGTAAATCGGGTACCTACATTGATGTATATGGCCCTAACTATGTAGGTCTGGCCCACAGACCACAATTAAAATTTGGAGCCAGATTCTTATCTAAGTGCATCAAGATCACTCCTACCTGAGGCACATTTGCTAGGTCTTCAACATAAAGGATTTCTACAGTTGCAACTAAACAGTAAAATACATAGGGGTGCTTTTTTTTTTTTTTTAAACAAACAAACAATACTGCTTTTCTCAGACAGCCTGTCTATCCTTTGTTTAATTAGAATTCAGAAGGTGAAATTAAGATTTCAAAATCATTAAAATTATATCTTTAAATTTAGTCATTTCCAGGAATTAAAAATAATTCAGTTGTTACATTAACTATTCCTGCCTAATTTTGTGGTTTTACAATCACTCACCCCACCCCCTCATTTTTTTATTTTATTTTTTTAAAAGGTAACCTCTCCCTTTCTTCCACATGAAACATTCACACAAACAAAGGAGACCAAACTTGACTATACAGGAGTGTGATGGGGTGCCTACTCCACAAGACCTGGAGGAGTTAAAGTGGCTAGGCAGGCTAATTAACTGCCCAGGCTACTCCTGAGGAAGGAGCAGGCCACTAACTGGAAATGGGCTTAGCTGGGCAGGAACAGGAAGGGCCGAGGAGTTGTGAGCAGCAGGATACTGCAAGGCAGCAGTCTACAATCACTCCCTATGAGGAGGGAGCTTGGGCTACCAAACCCAGAAAGAGGGGGAAACCAGATAGGTCGGAAGAAGCCCAGAAAAACAGCAGCAAGGGGTAGGACCATACAGACCATGGCTGCTTATTATTGGCTGGAACCCAGTGTAGAGGGCATGCCTGGGGTCCCTTGCCAGCCACTGGGAAGTGGCGCAGTGTGTTGGAGAGATCAGCAGACAGCTGGTTTGAACTCCCCAGAAGGGGAGGAATTTAATGACACAGGCGGAGGGCCAAGGCACAAACAGGAAGCTACAGCTCTTTGAGTGACAGGGGGTTGTAGTGTGAAAGAAACAATGGGTAGAGACACGGCCAGAGGAGAGTGGTGCCTGGCAAGAGCTAATCCCCAGAGCTGCCAGGAGGAGGCGCCACGTGCAGTGAGTGGATCCCGTGACAAGGGGATACAACAAAACTGACTACACAAGTGATGTCAAATCCACAAAGTAAATGAAGTAGAAAACACTAATAGTTTTCCTCCTCAATCTTAGACATTATTTATAGCAGCAATTAAAAAAATAGAGATTTCAGAAAGAAAAGTGAAGTGTATCCCTCTAAAAATCTAGTCAGTCAACTTGCATCATTTATACTCTTATCCTTACATGCCAAAAATGAAGCCTCATCTATACTAGAAACTATACTATATTACTGAGAGTAACATTGATACAAAGTAAATTGATATAAGAAAGAGTTTAGTCAGTCTATACTCACCCACATTAGGGGTTTGCACTGGTTTAACTAGACAAACTTTTTAAACAAACAGACATAGGTCCTGACAATCATTTCTCCTTCCACTTATCTGATATATATTTCCAATATCTGACTTGTTTAAGTGTATATTATTTTTAAAAAATTAAGTCTTTGTAGTTGTAAGAAATTGTTTCAAATTTATATATAACGGCTTAATAGATAATAGTAATTACATAAGGACAAATGTCAGTGTTCATGCCTGAAAACAGAAGACAGTCACAACACCTATGCACTGTTCATTTAAACTAAATATGTAAGATTTCCAATACAGATACCAAACAGTTAATTTACATAGTCACTTACTTTGGGGACTGTAGACTTTCTCCTTTTAGTTCCTACTTTTTCTTCACTTCCCTCAGTAGGCTCTTGACAGCTTTCTTCAACAGTCTCTTTATCGGTGTTGTTAACAGTTGGATGCGACTTTAAGTCAAAAACATTACCACATTTATGAAGTCAAATAATTTACTGAAGTAATGAATAATAATGACATTAAAGTTGCACGGTTGGGTTTAAAATTAAAAATCAAATTTTCTTTACCTGTATTATAAGTGATTTTTTTTAATTTAGTTTTTTCCACTATAGCCGATTTTAAAATTTCTCTCAACTGAGACAATGAAAATAACATTCAAATTTAACGTTCACAGTTCCCATGCACTACCAGTAAGTTGTGTTTAGACAACAAGCATTGCAAGGGAAGATTTATTTAAAAAGTTTCCATTAACATTTGATTAAAGACTGGAAAACTTTTGAGCCACGTACAACTGAGTAATATCCTTAGCACACCAAAACTCAATTCCACCATAATGTAACATTTCCTATCCCCTACTGAACACAAAGCATACTCCAGAAGCATTTCCTTGCACATTCCTATACGTGTGATTGTGCCATTTAGTAATCCTCAACCGATGCAAGAAACTGACAACCATTATTTAAAACTTCTTGGGCTATATGAAGGGGCATTAGATAAAAGTTTGTAGTTTGGCTACAACCTGATCCACTTCTAAGACTGGCTATCAATAGTAGATGAATTATAAGCTAACGATTATTTTCAGGAAAAGCATATGGATCAAAAATATTCTTTGATGCAATGAAGGTGGAAAGGATAGCACTAGAACTATGGAAATAAACAGAGAAGGGAAAATCACGTACCTTTAATTCTGCTTCTCTATAGATAATATTGTGCATAAGTCTCACTCCTAGGACTTATATCCTCTGTACAAGGATAGAATGCCCCTCTTAATTTTTTTCCCTCTTGAGGGAAGTGGTTTTGGATTAGAGCCCAAAGCCTCCATACTAGCAGCTGGAAGCTATCCCCAGCAAAGTATAAATGCTGCCCTCTGAACATTCAAGCCAGTTCCTTCAGTTGTAGCAGAGTAACAAAACTCTGCTATAGTTAAGGTTAAGACTGGCTTTCTGCTTAAAACTCAGCTCTGTGCTCTAAAATCCTATGGTTGCTTAGATTGCCTTGAAATTTACTGTGCCTCAAAGGAGGTGTGGGATTGATCAAACCAGGACTCAGACCACTGCACCATGGTCTCAAATGCTCGAAGTTACCCCCAACAGAATTTGTGGTCCTTTGAGGGAAACCAAGTTACAATGATATTCCAAAAAAGAGTTTCTCTCTCCACTTTAGGTGCTTGTGAAGACTCACGGGCCTGTTTGTAGGATCAATAGATTAATCTGAGCACATTCAGACAAAGGCTAACTAACTGGAAAATTAACCTTTTAATCACAGGACCTGGGAGGCTCTGAGGGAATAGCATAATCCTTGAATCCAAATACCACCCCACGCACACAGCTCAAATCCAGCCTAATGCAGAAATCTGAAGTAAAAAAGCAGGCATAATGCTCCAATCTACCTCTAGCAAAGGGGATTTTAAAGGTGGAGGGAGAGGGATGTGATTTGAGTACAGCAGAAAAGTCAGAAAACCTTGAACCTATTGTTTGAAAATACACTACACAAGAAAATTGTCACTGGGGAGGGTGATGAGCAGTGAAAAGTAGGTGTGAATAGGAGGAGAGGGTTTGGGGGAGGTCATGGTGACTAGAGGGAAGGTGAGAGACACTGGGAAGAGGGATATGGGAGTGAATGACAGGAGGACTGGGGGAGAACAGGGGCAAGGGAGCCTGTCAGCTCCACTTTCCCCTTGTGTGTGTGCACCACAACCTGAGGCCCCTACTCATCTATGGTGGTCTGCCCTCCCTCATGTGAGCCAGGTTCTGGAGGTAGCTTTTCTGTGGGTGTCTGAGCCATGCTCCTTAATCCCTTCCTGTGATCCAGGGGTAACTGCTGACATAGTGGAGTGAGAGCCCTGCTAACCGCCCACAAAGGGAAGTGAGAGCCCTGCTCCCTGCCTTCAATGTGTGCCTGCCAGGATCTGGGGGGTCCCTGCCCATTTATGGGAGTCTGACACCCACATCCCTGTCCCCCTCTCATGACAGCCAGGTGGCAGAGCTTGCCTTTGATGGTGTCTGAGCCCCTCTCCCTACCCCCCTGTGAGCTGTAGAAGCCCTACCCTATCCCCACTGCTGAAACTGAGGTGAGGAGCTGAGAATGGGCGTTTGACACATATCAGAAACTTTCCAATACAGGGGTGTGGGGAAGGGAACATTCACTGACTCTTGATGCAGTTCAAACTTCTCAGAGCTATTATTTCATGCTGTATTCATCTCCAGTGGGTATTCTCTTTCATCTGAGAACATATCATTGAAATTAATGAGCCAATTAAAACCTCTCTGAGACTTCAGGTTTCAAAGTTTGAAACCTACTCTGGCAGAAATCTGAGAATGAACTGTAAACTACAGAGAAAAATCTACTTCCTCACAGTTTGTTTGTGGTTTGTTTTTTAAATGAGTACAGAAAAATATTCTGAAAGTGCTGAAACTTTTTGAAAAGAAAATAAATTACACGAGTGGTCACTGGGAGGCAAGGAGTTATTGGAGTACAGTATTAGGTGGTAATAAGGGAAAAAGGGGTTTGGTCTGCAGCAAGGGATGAGGGATAAATGGGAATAGGTGTAGGGGAAGGAAGAAGATACGAGGGATTGGGAAATATAAGGGCTAGTAGAGGAAGTTGGGGGGTTTATGAAGGGAAAGGCCTGTCACCCCTGAATTCTCCTCTTCTACGTATGTGCTAGGATCTAGTGGAGCCCTACCCTTTGCAGGGGTCTGATTCTTCTCCCCCTCTTGATGCAGCAGTTCTCCTCCAGGGGTCTGCGGCCCACTAGGGATCTGAGTGCTGTTTCAGGGGCTTGGCCAAGCAAGGCCGATCAGAGTCCCGAAGGGGCTGGAGCCCCTGTGCCCCGGCAGAAGATGCCATGTTCGGCTGAAGCCCAGCACTCCCCAGCCCTATGGGATGAAAGCCCTGAGCTACCTCCCCCTCCCCACCTCAAGGGGCAGAAGCCTCGAGCTCCCTTGCTCATCGGGCTCCCAAGGCTCTTTCCCAGCCCTGCAGGGCAGAAGCTCTCTCTCCTTCACACAGCTGAAGCATGTTGGGGGGGCCTCTGAAAGATAAAGGTTGAGACCTCATCTTGATGTGTTTGAGCCCTTCTCTGCCATGAGCCTGAATGGGGGAGGGGGGAGGAAGGGGGAGACGCAAAAATTTAAACATCTAGAAATCCAGAAAAAAAAATTAAGATACACATCACCTCAAAGTGGGGACTGCCGGGGGGGGGGGGGGGAGAAGAGCTTGGAGTGGACCCAGTGGACCTGGGGCATGGCTAGGAAAGCCTGGCTGAAGCAAGGGCAGGAGTCCCAGCTCGAGGTGAGTGGTAGGAATGAAGGGTCCATCTGAATATGCAGGTTGGGCTACATAACCAAGGTAGCATGCAGCCCTCCAATAAGCCATGGCCTGTGATGTGTGCGCAGAAGCAGAAAGAAGGGAGCAAAATCTTACACCGTTTCTACAGTGCCAATTAATGGCTTAATACAGGGGTTCTCAAACCGGGGGTTGTGAGGTTTGTATGTGGGGGTCGTGAGCTGTCAGCCTCCACCCCAAACCCTGCTTCGCCTCCAGCATTTATAATAGTGTTAAATATATATATAAAAAATTGTTTTTCATTTATAAGGAGGGGGTGCATTCAGAGGCTTGCTGTGTGAAAGGGGTCACCAATAAAAAAGTTTGAGAACCACTGGCTTAATGGATGGGAAGGGGAGTGAGGAGCTGGAAAAGAGCAAATATAGTGATCGGCTATAAAAAAGGAAATAAGGACAACCCAGGGAATTACAGACCAGTCAGCTTAACATCTGTTAATGGAGCAAATAATTAAGCAGTCAATTTGCAAACATCCAGAAGATAATAAGGTGATAAGTAACAGTCAACATGGATTTGTCAAGAACCAATCATGTCAAACTAACCTGATAGCTTTCTTTGACAGGGTAAAAAGAAAAGGAGTACTTGTGGCACCTTAGAGACTAACCAATTTATTTGAGCATAAGCTTTCGTGAGCTACAGCTCACTTCATTGGATGCATACTGTGGAAAGTGTAGAAGATCTTTTTATATACACAAAGCATGAAAAAATACCTCCCCCCCATCTCCTGCTGGTAATAGCTTATCTGAAGTGATCACTCTCCTTACAATGTGTATGGTAACCTGGATTTGTGCTGGAAATGGCCCAACTTGATTATCATACACATTATAAGGAGAGTGGTCACTTTAGATAAGCTATTACCAGCAGGAGAGTGGGGGGGGGGGGGAGAAGAGATTTTTTCATGCTTTGTGTGTATAAAAAGATCTTCTACACTTTCCACAGTATGCATCCGATGAAGTGAGCTGTAGCTCACGAAAGCTTATGCTCAAATAAATTGGTTAGTCTCTAAGGTGCCACAAGTACTCCTTTTCTTTTTGCGAATACAGACTAACACGGCTGTTACTCTGAAATTTGACAGGGTAACAAGCCTTGTTGGGGGGGGAGGGGGGAGAAGCAGTAGACGTGGTATATCTTGACTTTAGTAAAGCTTTTGACACTGACTCGCATGACCTTCTCATAAACAAACTAGGAAAATGCAACCTAGATGGAGTCACTATAAGGTGGGTGCATAACTGGTTGGAAAACCATTCCCAGAGAGTCGTTCTCAGTGGTTCACAGTCATGCTGGAAGGACATAACAAGTGGGGTCCCGCAGGGATTAGTTCTGGGTCTGGTTCTGTTCAATAACTTCATCAATGATTTAGATAATGGCATAATGAGTACACTTATAAAGTTTGCGAATGATACCAAGCTGGGAGAGGTTGCAAGTGCTTTGGAGGATAAGATTAAAATTCAAAATGATCTGGACAAACTAGAGAAATGGTCTGAAGTAAATAGGATGAAATTCACTAAGGACAAATGCAAAGTACTCCACTTAGGAAGGAACAATCAGTTGCACACATACAAAATGAGAAATGACTGCCTTGGAAGGAGTACTGGGGAAAGGGATT